TTCATGTTGTCATTCATTTGGCATTTTTTGTTTGGTTGCTTAATTAGAAAGAAACAAGGAAAATATAGTAGAGATGCACGCACAAGAGCCCACAGGAAACACCTGACCAAACACTGCACATAAAGAAGAGAAGAAGAGTGAGAGAACGTAGTTTCATTATCTTTACCTTTACCTACATGTACCACATGCTTAGTCTTTTTCTAAAAAAAGATTCAAAAGCAGAAATGAGGGCTGTGGCCAGGTTTTTAGAAATACTGATGTCACAAATCCAAATTCCCCAGTGCAAACCCACCTCAAAGAAATGTCTGATGAGATACCATGGCATTTTCTTATTATTTCAGTTTTTGTTTTACTTTCAATTAATTCATTAGTTTTTTCTTTGTAAATGCTGTTTCAAAACCTCCTCTACACTGCCAGGAGGAGAAGTCTATGAGGATTTACATGTGAAATGTAAGACCTCTTGTGTGATTTCCACATCATGTCACATTTGAAAAACATTTAATTAACATATAGCCACATAATTTTCACATATATGTGAAATTTCAACATGAAAATATGGAATGTGTTAAAGCATGTTGAATTTAATAAAAAATAAATGCATGTAATATACAGTATATCTTACAAAAAATTAATTTAAATATATTTTAAATATCAGAATCATCCTTCAAACCCCGCCATGTCTAATTTCAGTATAAATGTAGTATGTAAACTATTCTCCTGGCTGTTAAAACTCTTGAATTGTTTATAGAATTAATTATTAACCTGTTATGTCAACACTGTAAATATGAAATGAAATAAGATATGTTAGTAGTTGGCTGCTGTTTTAACCAGTGGTCAGAGTAACAGCACTAAGTCCTGGTAAAACAGATATTTTGCTGTTTGGAGAACTCCGCTTGCATAATGATCACACTGAATTACCACTATTGGATGGTGGTAATTAGTCTTGGTGTTTAAGAGTGTGTGTGCACTGAGGGTATGTGGGTGTGTAAAAAGCCACTTTTCCGGCTTTGCCATGTACGAGAGGGCAAAATGGAAGCATAAGTGAGGCACTCTAAGCATTTGGAGATAAAACATGTGAACCCCCCCTAACTGTGATTGCAGATTCAACTGGGATACATGAAGCGAGTTCAGATTATAGAGCTTCAGTAAACACACAAGATGGACCTTTCTACTACTCTGAGAACTGTTGCAATTTGTGTGAATTGAGTAGGAGTGCAGCTTTTTGGTCCTGATCAAGTATATTTTGATTATGTTAGCAGTAGATCTACATTAAAATTCAGCTGGTAAATTTAGCTTGTGCTAACACTAGAGTTAGGCTACATTTCAGCAGGTTTGCTGCACCCTGCTGTGCCCTGAATATGTATCCAGTTACCTGCCAGTGGAGCCACTTCACATATCCAACAGAGATCCGCTCAGAACAGTGGGATTGACCACCCTGAAGCACAGGGGCCGCTGGACACCCCCTTTGGCGAAGTTATACTTTGATAGAGGCCCCTGAAAATGTTGTGACAGGGAACAGGAAGTGCCCACTGCCTGGGGAGGAAGTATCAAATAGAACAGCATCTTTTTTCCACTTTGGTGAGATCCCTCCAGTTAGAAATTTTCTATAGTGAGTTTTGCCACTGGCTCTCCAGACAAAAGGAGGCTTTCAGCAGGACCTTGCTAGGATATACAGTGTTTTTACAGTTTCTTTCCTCCCTTTGAGAGAGTCAACATTGTTGTTGCACAATAGGTGCATGTTTTCGTTTGCTATTTTATCAAACCTGTGGTGGAAAAGAAAGGAAATGGAGAAGGGTTTGGTGAGAAAATGTCCTTAACTTCTGTCAATCTCAAGAAAATTACGAAGAGACAGCCATTGGAAGAAACATGAAATTGACTGCAGCCCACTGAGAGCTTTCTTTCACTCTTTTTCCAGGCATTACGGCGTCATGACTCAGAGGGCAGCAGACAATTTAAGAACGTGTCTTTCTAAGGGATTTTCCTCACCTCGACAATGTCATACATAACCATGCAGTGTGGGATCAGGAAATCAAAGCTCAGATCCCTAATACATTGCAGAGGGTCATGGTTTTGTCTTTTATGTGGCTCACATTTTGGCAAAGGCTATATCCAAGAGTCGGGGAGCTTGTGAGTGCATCCTAAAATTTCTGGATCTAATTGTGGGTCAATCTGTTGCTGTGTGAGAAGAGCACGTATGTCAAATATCGAGACAGATATGGGCAAACTTCCAAAAGACTGAGAAGACACAGCGACACAGAAATAGGTGGGGCGGCTTGATCTGACCACTTAAATGCTCAGCTCCAGCGTCTCTCTGTTCCGCTCGGAGATCCGAGTCATCTGCCATTGACACATTGTGGTCGAGTCAATGAGGCGGAGAGCTAGAGAAAGAGGAGAATGAAGGGAAAGAAATATACAAACAGAAGAGAATGTTTGGGGGAGGAGAGGGGCAGGATATTTATGGAAGGAAAAGTGAGGATTGAATGGGCCCACATGGGTGGCTTCCAGTGTTGATGGGTTTTTTTCCCCCCTTGAGTGACAAGGCCATCGTCATTGAGAAATCAATGACATAACGCAGAAGATGCAGACTGAAATTTCAAACTTGGAGGCTGTCTGAGGAAGTCAGAGTTTGAACTACCCCCCAACTTACCCATCTACACACACACAAACACACACACACACACACACACACACACACACACACACACACACACACACATAGAAATTCTCTCCATATGGATACACACAGGCAAGGGCTTTTCATCTATCTGGTTTACTGGTTTGTTAAATTCTATATTCTCTGCGAGTGCAACGCTCTGTGTTTGCTGTATAGATTGCTGGCAGTCTGTGTTTAGAAGTGGTCCCGCTCATAGGAAATGTTTGGGTTCTGCCTTGTGTCAGCTGCAACCGTTGGTGTGGGTTACCTGTGGGTGTCACGATGATAAACGGGCTGCTGGAGCTCGATGAAGTGTTTATGACCGAAAGGCGTTGTTGCATGTAACTAATCAAGCCTGAAGCTGGTAGTCACAAGCAGTGCTTCTTTGGCAGACCCCTCTGAATGGTAATGCGATGATGCTTAATGATGTGTAGGATGCAAACGGTCAGCGGATGTTGCGGTGACATCACACAGCTGCCGGACTCAGAAGTCTTTAGAGTGACCGAGATTTGGGATTTTCCAACTGGCTGAGACGCTGTGGCTATGTGCAGCCAATTTTTGTCCTATTTATTGTTTTAACCTAAGTAGGAGATGTCTAGGTAACCTCTGTACTTTGTTTCAAGTGGACAGAATAATAAATTCTGCTGTAACAAATGGTTTGTTTCAAGCCGACTGTTATTTTATCATCACATTCTGCACAAGCGTGATGGATAAGCTACGGGCCCCAGTTGTTTGTATGAGCGGATAGCATGCCAAAGCAAACACGTGCAAGGCTAAAAAAGTGAAAAATGCAGTGAGAGGCAGCAACATAATTCTGCAGCATATCCCGGATCTGTGGGTTCACACTGAGGTGAGACAGGCAAGATGTAGAACAAATAAAAACACCCCTGAAAGTCTTCGGCTAAATAAATTATGTGCAAGGATGCGTAATCCTGCACTTCATGAAGTGGTGAAAGCTCATTGTTTCTCCCTGGCCTGTCTGGAGTGAGGTGGCCTGGAGCCAGAGTCTTTAATTCCTCTGTCAAACAGCACTTCATGCATCTGTACTTTAACTGCAAGTCTCATCACACTGGACTTCCATCATCACTCTGTCTCTGTCCGGGTGGATCAAAAGTGCTAAAATATGATGAAAGCTTTGTTCTCCTTTTTGTTAGCAAGCTCTGATCAGAGGACACAACGAAAGAAAGAAAGAAAGAAAGAAAGAAAGAAAGAAAGAAAGAAAGAAAGAAAGAAAGAAAGATGGGTCAGAAAAAGAAAGAGCAAAACGATGGCATTACAAAAGGGGAAAAGCAGAATCTATCCCAAAGCCACTCTTCTGTAGCAGGTCCTTGCAATTCTGAGCAGCCTCTAATTAGGGTAGTATTCAGGGGTGGCATTAGTTCCCAAACTTTTTAATGGGGTGGAAAGCGGAGCTCCTTTTAGAGAGAGGGGATAAGTGTAGCGGCCGTTCCATACACTGAATAGCAGATGGAGAGATTCTGCACCTCCCTGGGAGGTATTCACTCTTTTTACTCTTTTTTAAAATTTCATTCCTTGCACTCACCCCTTTTCCAATTGCTCTCTTTTTCTCATTTTCTCCTCTTTCCATACATTTTACATCAGCAGATGTTCTAAGGTTTAAACACATTATTTTTGCTTCTAATTTAAATAGACTGATCTGAACTGTTGAAATGCAGTATTCTGACCAACGCTGGCCCATTTACAGTGCTGTGGATCAATGTGCATAGTTCCTGTAATAAATAATTAAAATTAATTAATTAACAGATGCATAACTCAATTTTATTTCAATGATTTTCTTCAATTTGAATAAAAACATGAGTGGATAAAAATACATTCCTGACAAGAATGCTAATATTAAAACAAATGTATTTAGTGTCCATATATACAGATACACAGAAACACACTATTTCTTTGCTTTAATTTAGGATATTTAATGTATCTGTCCTTACCTATTTAGTCATGTGTGTTTTTATCCTTGTTTGAATTAAAAGTTTTAAAATGAAATAAAATACTTAATATTTATTTATAATATTTAATATATATTTACTTTTATGAGGTAAAAATCTTGAATTACTTGCATAATATTATTATGATAATACTGTCAATTGTTATTATTTACATTTATTATTATATAGAACACCAATAAAGACTTTTAATAAATAGCTTGTTTCACCCCACTGAGGACTTATTATATTATACTTCATGCACATTATATTTAAATTTTTCCTACACTGTTTTGTAAACTGCTTTTAGTGAGACAAAATGAAATAAGCTTCGATGACTGTACAGATCAACTTGCATTTATTATTTATTTATTTTAAATCACTTTGTTTATTTACCTTAAAACATTTCTCATTGGAGGAAAAACAAATATTATTAACAAAATCCCACATGCAGAACAGGGTCATATATAAGTGCTCATGCTGTGTGTATGCTATTTACACAAAAATAATAGCTCATCAAAACAACAGACTGATGAATATTGATATAACAAATAGCCACAAAAAAGAGTGTTTTTTAAACATTTGTGCATTGATGGTCTGTTTTATTTCATAGCTGAACACACTTCTAGGCCAGGAAACATTTACAAATCTATTTTCCATAGATACGTTTGAATCCAGATCCAACTGTTCAAATTAACTATCAAATTTATTTCCAAATACATTTTTTCTGTCTTTACAACACACTTCTGATGCTTTAACAAATTGATGACAAAAGCTGATGAGGTAGGTATGAGACTTATTTAATCAGTAGGGCCAGAGGTGTCCAAACGTGGCCCAAATGACCTGTTTACTGGCCTTATGTTTGTAGCCAAAGTCTTTATAACTTCTATTGAAATATAGATTATTCTGACAGCCCTGAATGACCTAACACATTTACCCAAAGCCCAGGGTCTTTTATGGGCTGAGTGTTGTATTTTATCCCCTTTCCTCATGACCTGTGACCCAGCAGGGTAAACTGCTAACTGAGCTTCAGTCATGCTCAAGAAGGCTGATGCCCACATGATCCATGACATTTCATGAAACGCGCCATTTTTTTTAACTGCAGGACTGCCTACATAATATGCTGTTGTTAATATTTCCTGTGTCACAACACTTAATGAACTAAAACGCTGAGTCACTTGATCGTTACATTTTAACAAGGTTTAGAAATTGCATGTGTCTTCTTTTTTCTTGGTGAATTCAACTAAATAAATGCCTTAAACAGTCTTTTTAAAAACTTAATGGCTTTCTGAATTCTTTATTCTAAACAATTGTTTGATCAGTCTGTGTAACTGTTTATGCATTCTACATATATATTCTATAATAATAAAATAAATATATAATAATAATAACATTAGCTAGCCATATATTTATTATTATTATTATTATTATTATTATTATTATTATTATTATTGTTGTTGTTATATAGGTATAGGGGCTATTTATGAAATGTCATGGTAATATAGGACGAATATTTAGGCTATCTAAAAGAAAATCACAGGGCCATTTTTGAGACAGGTGGTTCTGTTAAGTTCAACGATGGGGGTCGGTTGTTATCACATGGGTCAAAGGCAGCAGCATCCAGAAATAAGATTTTGACCTTCTATCGTGTAGATTCTTGACTTTAATCAACCAAACTAGCGCACATATTGGCTTAGATAGATAGATAGATAGATAGATAGATAGATAGATAGATAGATAGATAGATAGATAGATAGATAGATAGATAGTATTGCATTATTTTTAACTCAAATTTAACCAGGATGTTTCTTAACACAGAGCCCTACCTAAAAAAAGACGTTCTTTCTGAAACGTGTTTTCAATATGGCGTTTGAATGGTTGGTTTGAAGGCAGTGCTTCCAAAACGATGAAGTTTGTAACTTATTTAAAACCCACGTCGGGATACAAATCTTATAGGCTACATATCAGCATTAACACGTTCTAACTACTAGTAATATAGGCCTAAATAAATAAGATGTTACCAGAGAAGTTATGCAGAGGTAAAATAGACCTAGTAGGCTACAGGGCATAGGACATCCTACAGAATAACACAAGGCCTTAGACTGCACTAGCCCATTACCAAGTGGGCTAGCCTATTTCAGAAGGTCACATGCGATCAATCAACTTAGGTGTACTTGTGAGAGGGTTGTAGCATCCACTAGGCTATTGAATATAGCTAATAGACTACCTAATTTTGGTGTATCCATCTGCATGAAATACCGAGAAATTAGATATAGATAGCCTAGATAAAATAAAAAATAGCCTACACTGAATTATAATTCACTATTGACCACAGACACAATGGAAATCCCATATAGGACTCTACAGCCATTAGCAAAATCCCGCGCGACTACAGATGTTATTATAGGCCTATGTGCATGAATTATTCTTGCCTTTTCCCTGTTTAACCTACTCTATTTATAAACTAGTCCATGCAGTAGCTACAACTGACCTTCTTCTCTATCTCTGTGTGTGTGTGTGTGTGTGTGTGTGTGTGTATGTGTACGTATGCGTGCGCGCGCGCCTGTCTGTCTCTCATTGCGTGTTACATCATCACGCAATAGCTGTCCTCCTGTGGCCTACTGAACTGGCTCTAAGCGCTGATCCAATTTGGCTATCTACTAGGCTTACACACAAACACACGCACACACGCGTGCGCACAAACACACACGTTGCTTGAATAAGGGGAGGCAGACACACGCAGTCGACGGGCGCACACATCCAGTCACGGAAGCAGCGGGGCTGTACTCATGAAAGGTCTGACACATGCAACATCACGGTAACACGTGTTACAGCCCTGAGCTTCAGCACCTGCTTCGGACTGAAATGAATAATGTTTGTCAGTGTTTAAAAATATGAAATCATAATCCACTTGCAAATCTTCCTTTACCCCAGCTCCAGTGTGTAAATATCTGCAAATGCATCTGTTCTTCTCTGTTAATACAGCATTCTGTTTGGCTTTTTGTGTCAGCGGCTACTTGCACATTCCAAATTACATACTCTTTCCTATGTGGGGCCAAAAAAAGAGACCCAAATAAAGGTGAGTAAACACTAAAAACGGTGAGTGGATGAAGGTGGTTTTAACCTCCACTACATCGCGGTCCCTGTGCCCTGCTGACCCTGTGGCACACCGGAGCGACACTTTAGGTGCAACATTTCATTTTCTCTGGCGAACGGTGTCAGATAAGAGCAGATAATTAAATATTGGATGAGGAGTGTTTTCTCAAGAGCTGGCCAGCTCCGGCATATACACCGACCTGAAGCAGGCAAAATACAGCCTCTGTCTCACCCCGCTGACACCTTCCTGTACGCTCGCCGTAATTACGAGGATGAGTGTGAGAGAGGTCAGATGGACACGCAGGCCTCATGTGCGCATGTTCCAAAGTGTACAGTGCAGACATTAGAGAGTGTGTAACATCTGAACAAACTGTTTAATAAGCTTAACGGTATATCTTTAAACCAAATAGGTCTATATATTTCAATAGTTTTAGGCTCATGGCGTGCACACGCTCTCTAAAACAGAAACACTTGTAACCCCCCTCCCCAATCAAAACCATTCAGCTGTTATCCTAAAGCTTATTTTGATTGTTGTTACTGTATCAGCTGATTAGCAAGCACAGTCCCAATGTAAAGAACCGATACAATCATAAACACTTATCTGATTTCCTCCTAGCATAAACCCCGGGGCAGCAGTATAGGCCCAGGAAGCTCAACGTAATTTCATACATTTATTTCCAATACAAATTACCTTTTTTTGCAAAACGAAATTTATTCTTGTTGAAAAAACAAACTGTGTAAAAATATCACACTTCAATTACACAATACTTGCCAAAAAATGTACAATGTTTTATTACTGAAATAAACACACACTGCATATTATTATAAATGTAAGACTTTTCTCTCTGTGTTTTTTAATACAAAGCTCAAATCAAAACCACAAAAATGTTTTGATTTGCCAAACTAATAAAAAACAAGGATGTGTTTGACACAAATACATTAATAGCCTATTTTTTTTTTAAACATGTGATCATTTATAACCTGTCCATTAAGTCGTTATCCTGAGACGTCCTAAACAGTGACTGAAACGAATTACTTGATAGAAAAGACATGGAAAGTTCGTGGCCAAAAGTCTGATTCACACCGAAAAAAAATAACATAAATATATATTTTAAACAGCATGAATATAGGCACAAATAGTGTTGCTTATGTCCATCATTCAGCTGCGTGCTATCAAATAAACATACAAAAATAATCCTACCTTCAAAGAGGGTCGTTTTTTGTTTTGTTGTGTCTTTTTTTTTTAGTTTCTTGAAAAGTTTGTTAAGACATTTAACAGCCACTAGAGCCGCTGACAACTCTGTTCGGAAAGTTTTCAACCGGGTGTAAAACAGCTCCGGGATGGACGGTCTGCGGCTGGCTGGCCGCTGGAGGTCCCAAAGAGGACGGTAAGACCGGGACAATGACCGGAGAAGTCCTGGAGGGGCTCAATGACCCACCGATGATACTCTCTATGGAGAAGGGAGATCGCTGCACTGGTGAGCTGGACTTCTGCACCGGGGCGGCAGCCTGAACGCTGGCTGAGCCCATGGAGCTGAGCTGGGGATAAAACCTACTCCTGGCTAAGTCCGTGGTGGGCATCAAAGAGGGTGCGGGGATAATGGTTCCCGTGTGTGAATGTGAATGCCTGGAGTGCTGCTGTTGCTGCTGCTGCTGAAAAGCAAAAAGTGCAGAGTGTGTGTGGTAGGACTGGAGCTGGATGCCGTATCCTCCGCAGCCGTACGGTCCGTACCCGTACGCAGCAGCGGCGGGGAGAAAGCTGTTGTGTTCCCGCAGCAGGTCCTGCGCCTGCTGCCGCTTGAAGCGTTTCCTCCGCCTGAGAAAGCTTCCGTTGTCAAACATATCAGCCGACTCTGGGTCCAAGGTCCAGTAGTTGCCCTTCCCAGGGTTCCCGGGCTCCCTCGGTATCTTCACGAAGCAGTCATTTAGGGATAAGTTGTGTCGGATGGAGTTCTGCCAGGCCGGGAACTTCTCCCGGTAGTACGGGAAGCGGTTGCTGATGAAGTCGCAGATCTCGCTGAGAGTGAGCCTCTTTTTGGGGCTCTGCAGGATGGCCATGGTGATTAAGGCGATGTAGGAGTAAGGGGGCTTCACCAGGGTGTTCTTGCCCGCCGGCTTGTAGGTATCCCTTGAGGAGGTGGAGCCGTCCAGGCACGGAGGAGAGCCCGCCAGGAGGATACCGTCGTGCATCTGCGCCACCTCGTCCACGTAGGAGCGTGTCTGGCTGTCCCCATCCTCCCCCTCGCCGACCACGTCTATGTCAGTCTCTTCCGAAAGGATGGAGGCATCCGACATCTCTGAGCTCAGAGTCATGGCTCACACACGGCTGTGCCCTGCGACGCCAGATGAGGAAGACGATGAGATGCACAAGCTGCCCTGCCCTCCCTCTTCAAAAACTCATATGAGGAGGGGGAGAGGAGAGGAGCACGTGTCGCCGGCGGTGAGAGATGCCCCCCTGTTTTCTGGCTATTTCCATATGTTGTCAGGATTTTATCGCCGACTAACGAACGGTCCTGTCGATGCCAGGCTCGGGGAATGTGCCGGGAAACCTGCAAAAGGTCCAGATCTAAATCCAGAGGGGGCGGATCTTCTCTCGTTATTTATATCACCGCCCTGGTCACATGGTGAGGAAACGTCACCTAGGAAAATGAAATGAGAGAGAAAACATTAAATAACAAAAAAGGTCTTTGAAAATTAACTGTGAGTGGTTTTTAAAAAAAAAGTATGGTGGGGCCTACATCCTTTTTAGTGGTCATTCATGGTGCCCTATAGTCCACACTAATCTGAAGCTTTTATTCCACCCCGGTGTTTTGCGCAAAAATAGATGTTAGAAGAAAACATCTTTAAGAAAGCCTAATTGCTGGTATGGCCACTGCTAAGATCGAAGAGGATATTTTGACAACCGTTTTATTTATCTAGGCTCATTTAAGCTACTAGAGTGATACATTAAAGGAGCACATGCACACTTCCTGTTTTTCTTTTTAATATGCAGAAAAAAATACTTGGGATCAAAAAATAGGTTGTTGATAAAATCTAAAGACCTGTTATATTTAGTATGAATGCCTTCTGAAATATAGTGCGGAGACCGGTGCACCATATCTAAGGAGCTCAGTTTGCGTGATTCCGTAGTTATCTAGATTATCCGCGAGCCATTTGTAATGGAAAAGAGTCAGCTGTTAACTCGAATCAGTCACGGGTCACGCAGAGCATGCAAGCCCCAGATATAAGGCCTCTGCCGTGCCTCTGGAGCATGATGCTATGCCTGTGGTGTGTACAGTGCTATTAATTTTAATTTATTTTATGCAGTTGGGTGAATGGAATTGATAATAATATAATAAGTTATAAATAGGTGTTTATCAAAGCAAAAAACATGAATGACATTTCTTACGGTTTTACAGGTTAAAAGAGAATAAAGTGTTAGTCCTCAGTTTGTCAGGTGAAAATTACACAATGTGTGCAGGCTTATTAAAAAGCACGATTTATGATACACCCTAATTGTCCCGATTGCATATTAAAATGGAACCAGAAAGTATTTCACTCATGTTTGCTGATTTTACAATAGGCGTATTATGTTGACACGTGTTTCACGTCATTATTAGATTAGTAAGTCCAGATGAAAATAGATTAGGCCTATGTTTTATTATGCTGATTTTTTTTTCTGAATGACCATCTCCCTATGGTTCAGTTTTGCCTTCAAATGCTTATGTTACTGATAAGGTGCATATGAATGGAAAACAGCAGACATGGTTTAAAGCAAAGCAAGCACATTTACCAAAATGTTACACTCTGCTAAGTTTAATTAAATTATTAAAGAAAAAACGAGCTATGTGCATTTTACTTCTCACTTTATTTGTTCTAAAAAGGAGACGCTATCAGTACTTTTCAGTTGCAGTTGGCCTGAAAACACGCTTAGACTAATAAAAATCTAAACATATGGTGACGTATCATGACTTCATTGCAAACTGGTATATATTCAGGTACTGTGTGGCCCTTCAGTAACTTTTCAGAGGTTCCCATTTGACCAGCGCCATCTAGTGGTGAAGCTGTCTCACAATTAAATCACTTATGGGCCATAAAGATACAATCTTGCAAACTGAAGGTGTCACAAGCAGAAATTTGTACTAATGTCAAATAAACCATTTTAGTAGCCTGTAGATATTACTGTAAAAAATAGATTTATCATAAAACTATCCCGACTGGCCTATATAAATAATAATTTATTTTCATAGGCCCTTGCAGCCCAATAAGCAGTGGCTTTTGTAAAATTAATGAGAAAATTTAGAGGGGAAAAACATACAAACAATATTTTCAGTAATTTCTGATCACTGATTGTTATTTTCCTCGATTATATTTTATTCATTATATTTTATTACTTATTAGCCTACTTATATTTATTTTATTCATTACTTCTGCAACTTCACAGTTTGAAATGGCAGACGGCATCACCATATAAAAACTTTATGCAGGCTACTTTATATTGATTTTTTAATATAGAGACAAAATATAACCTGATGAAAAACCTCGTCAGAGAAAGCTAGACACACACGTTTATTTTCAAATAAATAGTGTTCATAAATAGACAAGGAGGAATTGTGGCAACAAATAGGCCAAGACTCGTTCATGCAGAGACTAGTGTTGTTTTAATCGAATCAGTTTTCATATTGCCCCCACTCATATTACCTCAATAAATGATATTGATTGAACATATGATTGATTAAAAAATAGGCCCCAAACAAGTTCGCATGGATTGTGCGATGATTTAAGATGTGTTGTATTTCATCAGGATTAGGCTAAAATACCCCATTATGGATTTATCTAATAAAACGTCAACCTTCACAGAAAAGAAGTTGATGTGCCTCTTGTTTTATAGAAGTTCGTCGTGGACTTCTTACTCGTAAGCCCACAGTAGTTCTCCATCTTATTCTATTCTCTTATATATTTACAGACGTGTCTTTCAATTGCAGAGCCCAAAATATATGGATTAAATTTAAGCACAATAACTTTCAAACTTATGTGAATGCACTGCCTGACACTATCAGGGGGAAAAAACAACATGAATGAAGACCAGGCGATTTTTTTGTTCTTACTCGGCCGACACTTAACAAACGGCAGCACTCGCATGTGCGGTAAACCACCTCTAAAGTGTTTCTAAATTCCCCCTCTGCGATCCGAGGGTGTTTCCGTCCCATGGGGTACCAAGAAAGCACTTAACTGTTTAAACGCAATCCCTGCATGCCTCCCTCTTGGTCTGACAAAACCTCTGTCACCAAAACGCTCCCTGTCAGAAGTGTGTGTGGGGCATATGATTAACGTGTATCACATGCAGAAAAGGCGAAGCAGCAACACCGATAGCCATACATCGCTGTGGGGAGAATAAACTTGGCCATAGGTCTGTAGGCTAGGCCTATAGGATGACGAGTAGCCTAGCCCATCACACTGATCCAAATTTAAATTGGACAAAAAGGTTAAATAAAATGTGAAATATTCTTATATTGCATTGCATCTCAGTGGGAATATTTAGAAATATACATAGGAAGGTCAAAACGTGTTGCAGTTTATATTCTTGCACTTGAAGGGTACAAACGCCACACTCTTTGGATAATTTGGCAGTGGTTGGGTCTCTCAACATATCCAAAACATGGGTCTGAAAAGCTTAAACGAACGTTTCTCAGAGGGCCATGATAAACTTAAATCAATCGTTCATGACTCTTTTCAGATGTTTCCTGTCACACGTAACCTAATTACCAAACTCTGAATTGATTGATAATAAATTTGTCAATCTGAAGACTTCTATGGGAAATAAAAAAAAACAAAACCTAACAACTAGTAGGCTAATCAGAGGCAGCGATAGCCTACTTAGCACAGTTAAGAAAAATATTACATGTGCAATTCATGTGCCTGCAAAGTTAGTTTTCTCACGCCGTTTTTGTATCACTGTGAGGTAGAAGGTGCATTAATTTAGTTACCCTACGAATTCACGTGCATTACTTTTAAATAGGGGGACATTATCGGACGTCTATTCAGGAACACATTGTTTAAAGCCCTCAAAAAGTTCCTCTAACGGCCCCATAGGTCCCTGATATAGGCCCTAGCCTCAGGTCCCTGATCTGTCAGGGTCGGATGGAGTGTGGGGGGGGCAGGTGATTATCTTGTGGTTGCAGGGCAGAAAAAAGAAACAAAAACATGTTGTTATATAAACTATTATTATACATTGTATTTAAGAATAAATGTTGGTGTTATTTCGTGTTCTCTGTATTGGCTGGTATATGTGAAAGCCTGCTCAGAAAGGTTTTTGTCACCATAGCTACAAGAGAACTTACTTATTTTCACACCAAGATCATCAGATGCTGATTTTGTGTTAGCATATTTACAGGCAACAAAAACATGAGAAAATGCTTATTTCTATACATGCTGATTTGTGTTATGATGAGAAAGAAATCTTCAGATACCCTGTAGTTCTCGAACAGCACCCTCAATAGACCAGAATGCACTGCAGTCACAAGTAAAGTCTTACCTTTTTTCCAAGTCCTGTCTGCTTCAGTGCCTCAATGTAACAAAATGAAAACCTTTACTAGCCTACTTGAAAGACAAACAGACAAAGCTGGTTGAGATGAAATGCTGAAACTTCTCAGAAGGCTGATCTACCAGATTAAACATGATCTGAGGTGAGTTTACAAAGAGAGTGCAAATATCAATATCATATCCTCCTATTTCACCGAAGGGTACAGCACACACAAATAGTTGTGCTTAGGTTGAATGATACATACAAGGTGAAAGGATCATAACGGAAGACCATGTGCACATGTGGATATGATGGACATAATTTGCTTATGTCCTTACATAGTTTATGGAGAACAGAGCAAACTGATCTGAACTGAAAACTGAAACAGTTTTATAGGTTTTAGTTATTTTTCATCATGAAACATCATAGGTGTGAAGTTACTGTAATGAAATATTCCAATGAACAAATTACAAAGCTATATCATATTTTAATAAACACATTTCTACATATTAAAAGGACCATACTGCTGTTTCTGCATTTTTAAACCTAAATTCGATGATCAATTTGTCAAATCTTTTCTGATAAATTACAAAAAATTTATAAAAAATGATGACTGTCGTTCTCCTTCTGTAAAATAAATCATGAATGTACTTCTACTCAGTACAAGTCCACTAATTCAACTCATACAATTCAAAGCATGTTTTCTTTTAAAGGTTCCACAGTAAGAAGTAATAACACTGGTGACTGGTGTCCATCATAAAACAATTGTCTCTGGGCATTATCATTATCATGGAATAGGCAACATGCCAACACTGCACTATAAAATGCAAATGTTGCCTCATCAGCACTGTTCTATAATAAAACTCACTGAGCTCTCTCCACAGGTGCCTAACATGTTCATGTCTTGTGACCACTCAACTTGAGACAAACCTCTGAAACTGTTTGGAGGCCCCTTGGGAAGCCCCACCTCACCACTTTGAAAACCTCAGATCTAAAGGAAGCACTATCAGTTGCAGCCTGAACTATATATTCCATCAGCAGTGGACTCCGGCTCAGCTACCTTCACCAAACAACACAAG